CCCCCCTCCCCCATCTAGCCTAGAACACCTGTAAGATTGTTCCTTTTATTACCTGTTTGGAGGCGGGGCCTAAGGCTTTTAATGTGCACTGCATGGGGGACTGTAGATCCAGTTTTACATTGGAAAAGTGTAGAGTAGCTTTAGATTCAGGCTAACACTTAAAAAAAATATTTAAAAAATAAATTGCATTTATATAGCGCATTTCCACAAAGAAGTGCTCAAAAAAGATAATTTTGTTTATGAATATATGTTCTTTTTATACTTGAACCGAAAGCGTAGAACAGACATTAATGTTTGTTTAGCATAGATTTGTGCAGTGTAAGCTTAGTTCAGATTTATACTGGATTTTTACCTGTCTAACCGTAATGTTTCCAAATGCAGCGTATTATTTTTGGAAAGTTTGTCACAAAGTGTAGAGTAAAAGCTTGTAGAATGTAGGTTTTAGTTTCAAATACTGCTGCCTAGGATTCATAATCATTTGCCTCTTTTTTTAGATCTGTCATATATACTAACGTGAAGCACATATTTACCTATTTATATCTGGGTGTGTCTTTCAGCACCTAGGATAAAAAGCCTAAAAACTGAGAGAGAGTGTAGAAAGATAAAAGAGATAAAGTGTTTAGAAAAGCTGTCTGCTCATTGACTGTGTACAGTTTAGAATAGATAAACAGAAAGTACAGAATTAAAAAAAAAACTTCTGGCCTGGGAAGGTAAAGTAAATCCCTCTCATGAATAATTATAGTGTGAACCTGGTTTTGTCAAAGATCTAGAAGTTGTGTGTGTGTATGTGTGTGTGTGTTAGTATGTATGTGTGTATAGTGTGAGTGTGTGTGTGTGTTCGCTGGCCCCAATAGCTGTGTGCGTAAGCCACACAATTCTGAGAGGAAATATCACTCCACCCAATGCTGTAACTTATAGCTGGGCAGTGAAGCGTGACCAAGGATCATTATTCGGAAGGCTTCACTGGGTAACTATCTCTCCTATTTACTCTGCTCTCAATACATGAAGACTTGACTTAAAAAAGGCGTGTCACTGATATTGGCTGTTAACTGTACGTCTTGTTTCCACTCTTCTTAAAGTTTTCTCAACGGTAGGCCTATTTGAAAATAGCTAGTTTACCTTTTCCTAGTCTTCGGTCGTTTCAATTTACACTGAAAACATGAGACTGGATATAAAGAAAATTGTTAAGAAGTGATAGACTTTTGATTTAAAAAAAAAAAAGAAATGAAGTGATGAATTTTTACTTTTAGCATGGTCAGTTTGTTAGTTTACTTTTCAAAGCTTTCTTTTGTTTGAGGATTTCTCACTTCAGGCTTTGCTGGGCTGTTTCTTCCAGAGTGCTGTTTCTCTTCGTTTTGGAAATGTTTTGCTTCTCTTTTAAAGCTGGGAATACTGTGTTTTGTCCTCTTTCTTGAAATTGTGAAACAAGTTTCCCTTCTTTGTGCCTTGATAATTCTGTCTTTCTGGGCTTCAGTGAGTGGTGTAGTGTGAAAAGAATTTTGGTCACTTGCAATGGTCCAATGACAGGCTTAATTTAAATTTCAATTCTTCTTTTTTATATGGGGCTTGCAGACCTGCAATATATCTGTTGAATTTGGAACAATATAGGAAATGGGCATACACGCAAGCACACACACTTTGATGAACACATACTCTCATGCAAGCATTTTTCTTAAAGAAACAATGTTGAAATCAGTAACAAGAGTTTTGGGTCTGAATAATTTTTTATGCGTTAAGTGCCCAAATTTTTTTATAGTTACCCCGGTGTTTTGATAGCAGCATTTATGTGAGTATCAAAGGTTGTTTGATAGAAACAGATTTTTTAAAACCCCAAAGTTTGTCTCTGAGAAAAAAAAATTCAGTGTTTCGTGTGTTGAAGACAGATGTTTACATAGGGTGTGGGAGAACTACCAGGCAGAACAGTGTTGTTTGCTGTCAGCTTTTTGCTGGGATTTGTGCAGCAGGAGCATTTCTCACACATGTAGAGTAGGTTTTTAACATTTTCTTATAGAAAGCTTGATGGCCATACAAGTGTTAAACCCCCCCCCCCCCCCCAACACACACACACACACACACACACACACACACACGCACACACACACATACACGTGTACAGAATGTAGATATACACTTTTCATTTTATTGTGCAGTGTTTTTTGTTGTTTAAAAAAAAATGTTTTTTGATGCAGCTAACATCAGCCGTAAGCATTGTTACAGAGTACCAGGTTTTTCCATTTTTATTGCTTAAAGAGCCACATGCACAGTCGGTGGATATTTGATGAATGGAAGTATATGTTACATGCATGCAGTTTCCCAGTGCATGTATCTTTGCTGTCACCGAAACCGTTGCGTCTAAGAATGATTGTCAATGGCTTTGTATTTGTTCCACTGGTATTCAAATGCCACTGATGCTTTCAGTGTTCAAGTTTTTACCCACTCTCTCCCCTCCCTAAGAATATAGTAGTAGTACATGTAACTGATCTTTATATTATACCCTGTATTTTACACTTTACACATTATATTAATATTGCTTACTGTTTTTTCTATAATGTAAATTTCACAAATTGCAGTGGCCATGTTCTTATTTTTCTTCTTTTCATTATTGCATTGTTGTGGAGGATGATTTATGATCGCTCAGCTATTTTGTACCAATATCACTCACATTTTAAAAACTTTTAATAACTGTTTTTTTATCCCTTTTTTTTTCAATTTATATTTTTAAAAAGGTTCAGGAGCTCTATTTTCCCCCACATCTACCCCTTAAAAAATTTGCTTTTTGTTAGGAATGGGCCCTGCATGTGTTTTTTAGTAATCACACTTTCCTATTGCTGCTAATCAGCAAAAGTTACACCCCCCCCCCACCCCACTCTACTCCTTGCTCCGTGGAAGGTTTTCTTGGTACTCTGGTATCTTTGCTTGCTGCATTTCCCTACTGTTCCTTTACTGATTGCTGCTAACCTTCTTAGCTACTAGAAAGTTAATAGTTATATATATTTGTGCAATAGCATTACCTTTGGCAATATGACTTACTCCTTACTTGTGTAACGCATACTGTACATTTCCATAATGAGCAAATGCGATAATACTTTACCAATTTTCTTCTGATGTAAACAAGTTTTTATTTCTATCTTATTTACCTTACACGCATGTAATTACTGTCGCGGAAAAGGTTCAGAATTATTTTGAGAACACAATTTTTTTCTTGGACACTTTTTTTGTGTGAAGGTTATTTCTAACAAATTCAGTAGCTGTGTGCAAATATTACTGTAATTATATCAATTCTGAAGATAACTGCTGAATCAGGTTAACAAGATGCCGGTAGCCTCTATAAGCTTTTGTCGTTGGGTAGATTATAGCCAGTGGGTATGATGCCCGTGGTTATTAATGCTTCATTTTTTCTTGAATAAAGTAGCTAAAAGGACATTAAAAATTGGATGACATTGATGTTCACAGAGCAAAGTGATTCAATCTTAGGGAATGATTCACTCTGGATAGCATCTAATGGTCGTCATATGTGAGAAAATAATAATATAACTCAAAATTGTGGAGGTTTTTCTAATGTTTTGGTCTGTTTTGTTGTTGTTCCAGATCTCCCAGCTAACAGCCAGTGTGGAGGAATACTCGACACAGGCCCAGAACTACGCTGCCGTTGCCGAGCAAGCTCAGCAAGAACTGGCAGCCAAAGAGTCGGAGCTCGAGGAACTCACCGCGTCTTTCAAAGAGTTACAGACGCAGATTGCCGGCTCTGTGGAAGCTAAGGCAGATGTGGAGAGAGAGATCGGTGAGCTGAGAGAGTCGGCCGGGAGGTCTGAGGAGAGGTCGAAGCAGTTGGAGATGGAGGTTCAGTCGGAGAGAGACGGCCGGGCCTTGTCGGAGGAGAGGGTCGGGAGTTTAGAGACACAGCTTCAGATGGAGAGGGAGGCGAAGATCACGACAGACGCTCTGTTGGCAGAGACTCAAGGTCAAAGAGAGGCCCTGGAGGAGAAGATCACGACGTTGTCGCAGACATTCTCAGCGCTGGAGGTGGAGAAACAAGAGATGTGGCTCCGGCTGGAGGCGGAGAAAGAAGAACTGAGACTCAAGATGGAGTTGGAGAAAGAAGAGCTGAGGCTGAAGCTGGAGAGCGTCACGGCGCAGGCGGAGACAGCTGGAGGGCTGGTGGATCAGCTGAAGGCATCGTCCTCGGAGAAGGAGCAGGAGATTGTCCAGCAGCTCATGTCCCGCTCGGAGGAAGTGGTCACCCTTCAGCAGCAGCTGCAGGAGCGCCAGCAGAAGACGGAGGAGCTGACCGCTGCTCTGGACCAGGCCCGGGGCTTGGTGACCAGTCTCCAGACACAGCTACAGTCCACGGAGGAAGATCTGTCGGGTTTGGCCTCGGTGAAAGACACCCTTCAGTCGGAGCTGTCCACAAAAAATGCGGAACTCGAGGCCCGAACTGCTGCTCTGGAAGAGGCCAGCACTAATATAGGTCATCTCCAGTCTCAGGTGCAGGCGTCGGAGGGAGAAATGTCGGGCCTAGCGTCCGTGAAGGACACTCTTCAGTCAGAGCTTGCTGCCAAAACGACAGAGCTGCTAGAGATGACAGCAGCTTTCGAAGAAGCGAGAAGAAACGTCACAACGTTCCAGACACAAGTGCAGTCCTCAGAGGAAGATCTGTCTAGTTTCGCGGCCATCAAAGACACCTTGCAGTCAGAGCTGGTTGCCAAGACGACGGAGCTGTCGGAGCTCCAGGCCTCTGTGGCAGAGGAGAGGAAGGCGTTTTCGATACAGCAAGAGGCCTTGACCTCTGACCTGGAGAGTATGAGGCTGCAGTGCGACCAGATGCCCATCCTGAAACAGAAACTGATAGAGGAGGGAGGAGAGAGAGAGCGTCTAGAGGAGAGGGTGTCGGCACTTCAACAGCAGAGTGAAGAGCGAGTGAATGAACTACAGGGTGAGCTGGATCGTCTCAGGACTGAGAACAAGACGCTGTCTGAGAGCGACCAGTTAGCCAGTGGAGATGTCGCGTCCATTCAGGCTCAGCTCAGAGACGTGGAGGCGGAAAGGTCAAGGTTGGCCTCTCGGGTAGAAGAACTGGAAGCCTTGCATCAGTCGTCTGCCCACAATATTCTGGTAATCTCTCAGGAAAACGAGAGTCTTCAGGAACAATTGAAAGTGGCGAGAGAAAGTTCAACAGCAGACGCTGAATCTCAGATGAAGGAGAGGGAGGAGTTACTGAAGGAGAAGGAGGCAGAGCTGTCCCGGCTGACTGACAGGGGGGAGGAGCTTCATCGCAGAGTGGAAGAAGTGGAAGCTGAGCTGGCTGAGAGAAGAGCTGAGGCTGAGACCCTTGCAGCAGAGAGAGACAGTTTAACGGAGAAGGTGAGCAACTTGTACCTTTCATCATATTATGAAAAGTCATCGAGATAGGCTTGGCTGCAGATTATCAGTCCTACCTTCGCAACGGTCCTCCCCACGCTAGGTAAAAATGACTGGCAGTATTTAACCATACAAACTTATGGTCAGCTTTCAAAGACAACCACCTGTACAAACGAGTACTTCCCACTACCCCCTTGTGGTTTTTTTGGTTTGTGTGTTAGTAGAGGTTTTACGGTTTAAATATTGAAGCGTGCTGACAAAATGAGTTATTTCTCGGATTTGAGATACGTACCTCTTACTGGCGAAGTTTTTACAATTTATAAGCATAAAATAATCAAAAGGAGTCTTGTACTTTCAGAATATGGCATCAATAGAAAATCTACAAATTTCACCCTAGTGTCGATTTTTGGTTAGTATATCCATTTGTGGATTGCGAGAAGTAACTCATTTTGTCAGCACATCTCACATATTATAATCCCACTGTCCAACGCGTCAGCCTATCGAGGAGATCCATTTTTCTCCTCGACAGTGGATAGTGGGTGGCTGTCTCTTGGACAGCTTTGACTGTGTCGTGTTATATTAACTCTTTGAGACTGTGCTGTCTCACACACACACACACACATGCTTACCATATATCTGTGCGTATGTGACACATCTTAAACTATTGGCAACATAAAGGGGAAAATCACAGTGCTTATTGTAGAGCTTTCTTATTTCCCTTTCTTTTGCCTCATTTTTAGTTTTGGTCTGAATAGGCCTGAGTTGTGAACAGAGCTTTTAAATAATTGCCTCTTCCTGGTATTTTTTTCTGTATATAAATTATTTTGTCTCGTAGCCCAACACTAAATGACTAATGTTATGTATTTGACCTTTACTCCTGTATACAGTATAACACGGATAGTTCGAATTTGCTGGGGCCAGCCTCAGTAGTTTGAGGAACCCATAGTTTAAGGGATATCTTACAAAGATAAAAGAAGAAAAAAAGAAAATTGGACCACAGGCACAGTTTGACGAACGTGTGATTTTGAGTCTTCTGTGTTGGACCTATCCATGTTATACTGTATAAAAGAATACCTTGATCTCAGGTCGAACTAAAGGTTGCCAACTCTTAATTGTTTTCTGTTTTGTTTTGTTTTTGCAGACGGAGAGCCTTGACAAAACGTTGTCCCTGAAGGACCAGAAGATCAGTTCCCTGCTAGAGAACATGCAAGAGATGGAGGCTCGACTGGTGCAGCTGGAAGAGCAACAGGCTGATATGCCTGCCGCCGCCACTACATCGGTGGGATCCGAACCACAGCTTCCGTCACCCGACACCACCACCACCTCTAGTGTTGTCTCAGACTCTTCTGCAGCAGAAATAGAATCCCTGAAAACGTCGCTGGCGGAGAGACAGAAGGCGTACGCCGACAAGGAGCTCATGTGTAAGAAGGCTTTGGCCACGGCGAAGAAGCTCAAGTATCAGCTGGGTCAGGCTAATAAAGGACTGGAGGAGAGCAAGGCACAGATCATGGAGCTCACTGCTCAAAACGCCGCTCTCGTGGCGAAGAGCGAGGAGAGTCTGCAACAACAACAACAGCAACATTCCAGTGGCACAGATGCAGTAGATTCCTCGTCTTCTTTAGTAATCCCCGACAGTCAAGCTGCCCAGCAGATCATTCCAGAAACAGTGGAGACTGTGACCACAGAACCACCACCACCACAACCGCCGTCAACATCGACTTTGTCTGCCGAGGCTGACCCCAGTCTGAACTTGTCAGCGCTGAGCTCAGCATCCTCCGTCCCGGAAGACGTTTCCCTGGAGTTGGAGAGTCTGCGCAGCCAGCTGACCACTTTCCGAGAGTGTTGCGAGCAACTCCAAGGTCAGGTTCAGTCGCTGACCGAGGCCTCGTTCGAGCAGACGGCCGGCCTGAAGCAGAAGCAGAACGAGATTGACCAGCTGGAGGGCGTGAAGGAGGGCCTCAAAATGACGGTGACGGAAGTCGAGTCGGCTTACCAGAAACTTCAGGAAGAGTTTGAGAGTGCCCAGGAGGATTTCATCGCCACGAAAGAATCGCTCGAGAAGAAGTGTGAGATTCTGGAAGAGCAGTCGAGTCAGTGGAAGACGTTTATGGACAGTTTACAGCAGGAAGTGTCGGTGAAGGATCACCGGATCCAGCAGCTGAGCGAGGAGATGCATGCCCTGAGCTCCGAGCACTCAGGTCACACCCAGATGGTGAGTGTTGTGGAGGAGAAGAGTGAGAAGATCTCAGAACTGAGCTCACAGCTGGCCTCGCTGCAGAGTCTGCTGAGGAAGGAATCGGAGACTACGGATGAGCTCAGAGCTCAGCTGAAGTCTGCGGAGGAATCTCATGAAGGTCTCCGAGCTAAAGTTGACGAACAGGAAAAAGCTCTGGAGCAGTCCGCGCAGTCCTTGTCCCACCTACAGGAGTTTGCTCAGGAGAAAGAAGCGGAAGGAGAGAGTCTGAGGGAATCTCTGGTGAGGCAGAAGGCAGACAGTGAAGCCCAAGAAGGGACACTCCGGTCCCAGATTGAGGAAATGGACCGCCAGGTAGAGGAGTACAAGAGCAAGGTCGTGGAGGTCACTGGGGTCGCTGAGGAATTGCGGGAGTCTCGGGACGAGGAGCGCGGAAAGTGCGAGGTTCTAGAGCAGAAACTGTCGGAACAGAGCGGCCAGGTATTGGAGCTGACTACCATAGTGGACACTCTGAAAGCCCAGGTGGACCAGTCGGACGTAACGGCCGGACAGCGAGAAGAGTCTGAGGAGTTGCAGTCGCTTCGAGCGGCGCTGGCAGAGTTCCAGACACAAGTGGAGGATCAGAAAGAGTTGATCAGCAAGCTGGAGCAGAGTGTTCGCCGAGAAGGTCGACAGGACGGGTCAGCTGATGACGATAGCTCGTCGAAAGACGATGGTTCTGTCGACCGAGAGGCATCAGAGGACTTAAGTTTGAAGCTGGCGAGTTATCAGACGATTGTGGAGGAGCTGAACACGGAGGTCTTGGCTCTGAAAGAGGAGAAGGAGCAACTGCTGAACGAGATGCCGGGTGCCCAAGAGGTGAAAGCCGATCTGGAGAAACTGGTGTCGGAGAGAGACACGCTGCGTGTGGAGAGAGATGGTCTGAGAGAAGAGCTGGACGGTCAGCTGGAGGTGTCGGGCAAGATGCAGGAAGTGGTCACCCAGAAACTGGGTCACGTGGAGAACCTGCAGGCGGCCTACGAGAGTCTGGAGGCGACCGTCACATCGGTCAGTCGGGAGAAGGAGGAGCTGATGGTCAGCGTGGACTCGCTGAAGGGAGAGATCGAGGGTCTGGAGATGGTCATCACTCAGAGCCGGTTTGCTGAGTCGGAGGCTAGAACGGAACTGGGTCGCCTCAAGTCGGAGAGGGATCAGCTGTCCGCAAAGTTTGTCGAATCGCAGAAAGAGTTGGCGTCCGTTCAGCAACGACTGGAAGCTCTACAGTTATCATCATCATCAGCACAGTCGGCTGATAATTCAGAGACGGCCCTACTCCACAAAGAAGTAGAGGTGGCAGGAGGTGGAGGCTGGGCTTCACAAGTCCAAGAACAAGCCGTCGTCGAAGCCGAGTTGATCCAACGCATGACGGCACCTCATCCCCTTTTGGCCAGCGGTCCAGAGCAGCCGCAGCAGCAGCATGACCCGAAGATGTCGCAGCAGCTGCAGGAGTCGGAGGAGAAATTGCGGCAGCTGCGCGAGCAATATGAGAAGACCAAGAGCCGGCTGCAGGTCACGGAGGTCAAGTGCGAGAAGATGCTGGTCAAGCTCAAGTCCTTCAAGGACAAGAACGACAAGCTGCAGCTCAAGGTAAGTGCTTTGTTTTTGGGGTTTTTTTTTGTGGTCAGTATATGCGTGCATGCATGCCTCACCTCTTGATTTGTCTGCTCTCTTGTGTGTGTGTGTGTGTCTGTGTGTCTGCAAGTTTGTGTGGCCGGCTGTGCTAATGTGTGTTTGTGATTAGAAGGTGCTCTCATGTTGTCTGCTTTGTCTCTTTCTTGTCATTGCTGCTGTTTTCCTAAAGCCATTAGAGGTCAAATACAAGCTTATTCCGAATACTATGTGCCCTTATGATAAATGTAGGCACTGTCGTGTGTCATGTCTGTGATGAACCAATCAGAGCCTAATGTCCAATGACATTCTATGATTATGAATGATAGGACTGAGATGTTGACACTGACAGAACAAAAAATGACAAAGATAGTAGTTCACAATAGTTTGAGTTTTTTACCATTGCAGATCACCATGCACACATTATTCCCAGCTAATTGAAACCAAAAAAAAAAAGGGGTGGGGGGGTGGGGGGTTATTGTGCCTAATTGATAATGTAGGTCTAATGTTTGGGCTGAAATGTAGCCAGTCTCGAGCTGACTCAATTTCAACTCACACCTCAGTGCCTTCCATTATCTGGTGGCCGTTTTGTGCTGACTTGTGGCATACCACAACTTAATTTCAATGCTCCAGGCAGGCAATGACGACAGTTACTGTGTTTGAAGTCTTTGTTGTTCATCTAAACCTGAACAAACAAAAGAAAAGCAGGTGGCTGGAGGGCGCCACTGGTAGATCCTACTTCTTCACTTTCCTTCTGTTGTTTTTGTCTGTTTGTCTTACTTTTTTCCCAGCACTAAATGACCATTATTGTGTCTATGTGCTTTTTTTACTCAAACAGTCAGACAGAAATGAATAAGGAGGCAGGTCCTTGAGAGTGGTCATTAGCAGGTCCCACTTCTTTGCCATTCCTTTGTAATTTTTGTCTGTGTATCTTGCTTTACCTTTGTACTCAAATCCCTGGCTACCAGCTGGTGGTTGGTGGCTGTTTTAATGTAATCTGCTCTGTGTCCTTGCTACATTTTCCCTTCCTAACATTCTGTATCTGTTGCTTTTAATTCTAGGTGTTTTTTACACCCCCAGGTTGACGAGCTTCAGCAGACTTTGGCCCTGCAGTCGGGCGGCTCCCCGAAGAGAGATGGCGGCGGTGGTCTGCGCGAGGACCGGCGGCGGCTGGAAGAGCAGGTCACGGCCTTGAACGGCAAGCTGCGCGATGTCGAGACCTACAACGGACAGCTGGTCCATGAGAACTCGTCGCTCAAGTCACAGGTCAAAGATCTACAGTCTCAGAAAACCGAGTCGGCTCATGTAGAAAGTGTTCAGTCGGCTCTTGCACAGGTTCAGGCAGAGCTCCAGGCTAAGAATGCTGAGCTGGAAGCAGCGAGTAGCCTCTCAACAGACCTCCAGAGGGCACTAGAGACCCAGAGGTCAGAGGTGAAGGCCAAATCCGAGGAGCTGATTGCCATGTCCAAGGAAGTGGAAGATCTGCGTCAGGAGGCGGGTGAGAGGTCGAGAACGGAGAGTGAAGAGGTGTCCCGGCTCAACGCGAAGATTTTCGAGCTTCATCAAGTGCTGCAGGAGAAGTCACAGGAAGTGGTGGAAGAGGAACAGCGTCTGATGGAGGGTGCAGAGGTCAAGGCCAATCTCACGGCGAGGGTCGAGCAGTTGGAGTTGGAGAAGGAGCAAATGCGAGTGGACGCTCAAACCACGCTGAACTCTGAGCTGGGCCGGCTGAGAGAAGAGATGAGCCGAGAAGCTCTCTCTCTGCAGCAGCAGCTGGTCTCGAAGAACGAGGAAGTGGCTGCTTTAGTCGCCGAGAAGGACGCCAGTGTGCTGAGCTCGAAACTTTTGGAGGGAGAGCTGGACGGATTGAGGCAGGAGGTTGTTCGTCTTCAGGGCATCGTGGTTGAGTCAGAGGGGAAGGTCGCTCATTCAGAGAAGGAAACGGCTGATCTGAACGCGAGACTCTCGGAGGAGCAGGCAAGAGTGCAGCAGTTGACGCAGGAAGTGGAGGCGGTGGCGGCACACTCGTCAGAGATCAGCTCTCTGCGTGACCAGCTGAGCACCATGCAGTCTCAGTACGAGGCCCTGGCCAGCGACAACGCTGACTACCAAAGCCTGGCCACCACACTGACCACGGCAAATGCGGCCATGAAGAAGGAAGTGGAGGAGTTGAGGTTCAAACTGAAGAAGCTCGGGGAAGGGGCGAAAGAGTCTGTGGGCTCGAAGGAGTCGGGTGCGTCGGGGCGTGAGCTGAAGGAGCTACAGGAGAAGCTCGAGGAGGTGGAGCAGGAGAGGGACGAGCTGACCGAGGAGTTTGAGGGCGTGCGAGACGAGCTGGTCTCGCTGAGACGAGAGAAGAGTGCGCTGAACCAGCAGGTCAACGACCTCACTGCCACCACGCAGCAGCTCACCACCAAGATTTCTCTGTTGGAGCAGCACAGGGTCTCTGAGGGAGTGGACGAGGAGGTTCCTCTGAGGAGGTCGGGCTCCAGTTCTGGTCAAGATGCGTCGGTTCTGCAGGATCAGCTGACGGCGATGGAGCGGAAATTGTCGGAGCTTCAGGAGCAGCTGTCGGAGTCTCTGCGGGAGAACCAGCGTCTGAAGAACGAGGTGGACGGCCTTCAATGGAAGCTGGAGGAGACCACGGGCCTGGAGCAGGAGGTGGAAGATCTGCAGGCCGAGCTCTCCTCCGCCTCCATGGAGAAGAAGATTCTGAGTCACGACCTGGAGGAGGCTCGCGGGGAGATGTCGGCGCTGCAGACGGACAAACATCTGCTCATGAAGGAGGTGGAGAGACTTGGGGACCTGTTGGAACAAAGACCTCAGAACGTCGCCGGCGCTGACTCGAAGACTGCTTCGGATGCAGCCGTTCCGCCCCCGAGCAGTAGCGATTTCTCCCAGCAGCTGTCGGCCAAAGACGCAGAGATCAGCGACTTGCTGTACAGTCTGGAGGAGAAAGAACGAGATTTGTCGGAGACTCGCCAAGAGCTGGACAGCCGGGCAGTGATCATCAACACCAAGGACGGGGAGATCCAGGAGATGAGCGGCGAGGTGGAGCTACTTCTGGCACGGGTGCAGACGGTGGACGAGCTCGAGATACGCTTGGCGACCTCTGCCGAGGAGCTGGAGATGAGCCGCACGGAGAACCAAGTCCTGCAGACCAAGCTGGACAACTTCCACGTCAAGCTGGACACGGTGCGCTCGCTGGAGGCGGACTTTGAGTCGCTCAACGCAGAGTTCAGCAAGGTGCTGGAGGAGAAGAGCGAGATGGCCCGGCAGATCGAGGAACTCCACGCGCGGGTCAGGGAGCTCTCGGCCCGAGAACACGAGATCACCTACAGCGTGGAGCAGCAGGTACGTCGTCATACATTTGTCAGCATCAGTTTTGTTAGTACGTCATCAAATTTGGTCTTTGTCTTTTTGGTTTTATATAAGGGTACAACCTGTCATTGTTTACAAGCCCCCCCAAAAAAATATATTATTGGTTTTTAAACTTTGCATTGGAAAATGCAAGTTCATATTCTTCAGAGGGTGAAAGAAATCAGAGTAGGTGATCTATGAGAAAACAACAAGACAAGTGGAAAGAAATTAAACCAAGTATGTGATGTGGAAATGTACATTCCCTTCCACACCATTCTGTCAATGTGGTAATGGCTGATGCCATGAGGTCTTTATCATTAATGTTTGGGCTTTGAGGTCTGTTGTTACCAATCTTACTTTTGGTTCCACGGAACTGTTTTACTACATTTCGTACGAACATATTTGCATGTGGCTCGAACCATTACTTTAAATTAGTAAAGGCTTTCTGGTGCCTGCAAGTGTTGCCTATACTTTACATACTGGAGTCATGGAAAGTAGAAAGTAAGGGGTTAAAGGATGTCAAAGGTCGCTGGGGTCAAATGCAAACTTGTGCCGAATATTGTTTGCTTTTTGTAAAATTTAATGTTCTGTCGTGTGTCATGTCTATGATGAACCAATCAGAGCCTAATGTCCAATGACATTCTATGATTATGAATGATAGGACTGAGATCTTGACACTGACAGATCAAATAGACAGAGAGAGGGAATGGAGGTTTCTTTTTCCTGCTTCAGATTGCTGTGTACATTGACCGAGCTTACTTTGGTTTTGGTTGGATGTGGGGGGGGGAACGTGGATGGCACTTGGGTCGGGATGCGGGGGG